GCAATCGAGATTCGCACAAAGAACACCAACGCCAAACAATGGATCTTCTGCGGTACCATACCCAATGAGTGAAGCTTCTCAGGATGATACAACGATCATGCCATCCACGATAGGAAGCATAGGAAGCCAGAGAAGCGGCACACCTTCACGCCCTGCACGACCTAAGTCTTTAACACCACACGATATCGAAACGGCCAATTCTCTGGCAGGGGCAAGTTCACAGCCATACGATTATTATGGATCGGAACACGATTATCGAGAAGAAGAACGAGATACCTTAGGAGAGTTTCCACAATCCAGATATGTCAGCATGAGTGCTGCTTCAACTGCTGGCGGATTTACAGCATCGATCAACGAAGCACTAAATAACGCACCTGCATATAACAACATTCCACTCTCGACTCGCCCGTCCTTGACCGACCCAGATCTTCCACTACGCGAGCTGAGCCCCTCCCCCCTGAACGTCGTTAAGCGAAGCCCCTCCGATCCCGAGCCTAATAACGGAGAAAGTTCCAGCAAACCCCCATCTACCCCATATATCCTCGGTATATTTGGAGATCCAAACACCGGAATAAAGGAGGAGCCAGAGAGGATGAGTGTAGATGTTTGGCAAGAGCGCGATAAAGCCTTCCACGCCCTAAGCGGCGAGGAAAGGCGACTCACCCGACCACCACCTACCAGACCACCTCCGGCCGCAAGATATACCACAGCCAGCAGTGTGTACTCTCGACTTCTTGATGGAGTGACACCTATGCATCAGGTATACAATCCGACGCGACTGGCTACGCCGCCGATTGATCAGAAAGCGCGTCAGATGCAGGAGGATATGGCGAGGATGGCGGAGTTGGAGAAGAAAAGGGATGCTCTTGGGTTTACGACTTCGGATATGCATGGGGAGCCTGCTAATCACGAGTTAGAACCGCCGCCAAAGACTTATTTTTGATTTCTGGCAATGCGGGATGGGGGTGCTGTTCCTGGGAGAATGGTTTTGGATTTTGGAAAGATTGTATTGTTAACTGGGTCGTATCTTTTCTGTTGGGTGGGGAGCGTTGGGTTGGAGGGTTGCAGGGATTCATTTTCTGGTGTTTTATATAAGATATACTGAATACAATCATGCTTTATGCAGCTCATTCTGGTACATCTTCATCATATAGATAACAGAAAAGTGAAGTTTAAATAATAATTTTGACCTAGGTGTTGACAAATCTCACTTGAATGATACTCACGTCGGTTATTGTGGTAGAGCCAAGTTTGAAACAGCTTCATAGTGCTCGCAAGCTTTCAGTCAAGAACATTTCTGGCAATCCTGCCACTCGGAGCATCTTCTGCTCTCTTGTGGAATCCAGCTTGACTCTGTGTATCTAGTAGGCTAATAATTTTCTAGCAAAAGGGATGGCTGCGTAGAGGTTCTCTATTGTGCAAGGAAAGGATTATACCGACTTAATTGCAAAAGATATTCTACGCCACTTTCAGAAAGCCCTCTGTCGCAAATATTTCGAACTAGGGATATGGCAATGCTGTTTTGAACCTATGAACAGCACAAAGCATTGGTCTACTATGAAATATTTGAAGCGAGTGATTGGTGTATACCTACTACAATATTGCGTACGGGTTACCAACAAAGGTAATCCGCTTCTTCGTCCGCTCGTTTTTCCTAATATTTCATGATGAAAAAGACTTTTCGGGGTTTGTGATAACGGAAATCATCTGGCTATATATCACATCACGTAAGGTGAAAGATGTTACACGCCGGAAACTACGATATTGATCTCTGGGCTTATTAGATACCTTATGAAGTTCACGCAACATTAGCGAGAATTTGTTTCCACTACTTTCTTTTCAGTGCTCCGGTGATATGTCGTTAAGACTGAAGTTATTTTACGGCGAGAGTAAGACCTGAGAATGGCGGTTCCTGGATTTCTCTTGAGAACATGGCACTAAGAAGTAGAACATGAAAGATCAGTGCTCTGAATGGCGTTTTCTTTTTCGGGTCAATTTATATCAGACCATTAAGAAATGCGGCTTATCTATGCCTGATCCAAATCAAAGTGACTTTTGATGACCTATTGGTCGTCTAACAATAGATGACAGCGTTGAAAAAAGTAGCCTGAGCTGCATGACAGATTTAATATCACAGAGCAGCATGAGTTGAAAGAAGTAAAAAGCAACGACGATCATGGCCACTGGATGGATATCTAAGACGAGGAATTAAGATGTGATTACGAATAGCTGTCATTTTAGTCATAATATACCAATAGAGGTTAAATGAGTCTGTAATCTTGGGTAACAGACGAGCCTCGTCATGTTTCACTCCCTAAATTGCCTAAGTTCTGTTAATGTCGTGGACCACCAAAAAATACAGCTTCCTTATTTCACACTTCTTCATAATACCAGTTCATTGAAATACTCAGTGGTTCATAGCATATTGCAGTGCGATAATTGGTTACCCATATAAATCCGCGTCTTCTTTGTCCAGTGGTAACAAAGGTTTTAGCTCTGGGCCAGCAAGCACTACAACAGCTGCAGTGCAAGTCACCAATACCGATGCAGCTCCAGAATTTTCTCAAGTCTACCCCCAGCTCGGCTTCTTTTGGTGACACTTCAGACTCCATCATGTCAATGAAAAGTCATAATCTCGATATCGCCTAAGGTGGACTGGGCGAGAGTTTGAATGCTGTCGAGGAAGGACCTGCAGTAATAGTTACTTTCCGCGGCATCATCTGCATGAATGCCCATCAGTTTTTTATTGGCGTGGATCTTCTTAGCGTAGGTAATAGCAATCGCTGATGCAACAGCATTGCTAAACGTCATGATTGCTGGCTTCAGAGTGGACTGAGATCTCAGTGGCCCTGAGTCCGTGGATCAAATGTTCGAAGTCGAGAATTTTGAGGGATACGCCGTGTTCAGTGAGATGGTGTCGGTGCTTTGAATGGCTGAAATGTCGCACACTTGAACGCTCTGTAGTAGAGGTGGTGGATATCCTCTTGTCTGTTGACGAGGCCTATGTGATAAGTGTTGTGGAATATGGACACTCTGATATGATTATGAGAGAGCGCTCTTGCACGGCGCCAATACTTTGAACACGGTTTGTGACCTTGTATTCTCATAGATAAAGTACTTCAACTTGCGGGTCAGCTGGTGGGTTGATGTTTCTGGGGAGAGAGGAACAAACATGGAATCTAGAAGGAACCTGTTTCTCGCCATGAGGGCAAGTACTGTGATATATGTGTATTGTGGAGCTCAATCAAATCAGCTTTTGTCTTGAATGTAACTCAGTCTCTTTTAGCTTTAGAGCTTTCAGCTTAAATGGGTTCAAATGGTGTACTTCTACCAAAGATCACGACTAGGCAGAGCCAGAACTTATCTGTCAATGATTGGCCTTCAGTCAACTTTCATATCATCTGTGTCTACATAGCGCCAGACCACGCAGCTAACAAGACTATGGAATTTGAAAAAGAGGGATGTTTAGATATCATTCCCTCGTAGTCCAAAAGAGCGATAAGCGTCTGAGCGGGATCGGTTCCATCGTTTGAATTGCTGTGTTGAGCGGTGGAATAAAAAGACTGTCAAAAGAATTGGGTAATTTGAATCTGGAGACTACACAGGTACTCATGAGCTTGTTCAGCGCGGCTATCAGTTCGGGACAAAGAGTTGACTGTGTGGCATGCAAAGATCATTGGTGGCATTGAAAGCTAATGGAAAAGTGCATGCCAACAAATTGGTTCATTGCGTAGCGGTGAGAATGAAGTGAGCATATCTCTGTCTTTTAGCTGCAGCATGCCGAGAAGATGTCTAGGTTAGACACATCAAAGGTCTAGATGCCTTCATCCGTATCAGCAAATGCCCCATCAAAGATAACGAGAAGGCTTTGTCCATTCATTCAGCAGAGCCGTTTGACCCATCTCCATAATTTCAACGGCAGCCGACAGCTTTCGTTTTTATTTGAAAGAAAATATTAATCGTAAGACATGCACATGCTGATTCCATGTATGCGAGAATGTTTATGTGAACCTCTCTAGGCCATGGGAAAGATCTTGTAACCTGCCTCAGCACGGATTTAGACAAGGACCGGTTGAGACTATTGGCCTGCAAAGGCTCAGTACAACCAGTGTTGGCAACAATTAACCGCCGTTAACGGGTCGTCGTTTCAACATTCCCTAAAACGACGACAAGATTGGCTGTTACTTGCCGCCTGTTATGGCTTTCCTGAAACGTACGGCCGTTTACCTAGCGTTGTAATCCGTTAAACAAACGGCGAAATAATGAGTATATACTTTTTTCGGACCCGGGCAGAGTAGGCCGATCCGGACCGAGACTTTAATTGTCCCAAAGAAAGGGGTCACTGCTTAAATAATGCCGATTGCTTACTAAATCGTCAAAACAACACCAAAAGTACCCTTATTTTTCTACGAAAATCAAACCCCTTAAGAGCGTATAACGGCCGTTAACGGCGCAAACCCTTAACGGACGGCGGTGCAATCCGTTGAAACCGACACCCGTTAATGGTCTTGGCGTCAGTTGGATTCCGTTCAACTGCTGCCAACACTGGGTACAACTCGTGGACTGCAATGTCACTGCATATTTTCCCCATTTGAGTAAGTCTGATGATGGTTCATTTTGCGGTATTTGAATCCCTGGTGTTACCCTATTCGATTGAGTGCATTTAATGGTTGTTACTTCAGGCTCATATGAGGGGAGATATTTAAAGTTCTAAGAAGGAAGACAGGCGTTGTGGTTTCGATTTTGAGAATATTAACCACCCGGGCAACATTCAATGGCTGCAGGATTGAAGAATTTGTTGCTACAGAGAGAAAAGTCTATACTGAAATAAGTCAAATTAAAACCTCGCTCCCGTCCGAATGGCGTCGACAGGGGCCTCGAAATTATCCCCTTTCAACTTCCGGGCTGTGTGCCTAAGTCATACTGTTTGCTGCTCTTATCAACAACATTCCTCGGACAGCTTACCTTCCATCAGCAATTCATGAACAACTCGTTCAATGGTTGAAAACTGGAGAAGATGGTGACATCTTCTTGGTCAATATGGAAGAGCTAGAGTTTTTCTGGAGCTAAGCTTCATAACCGAATCGACCATGTTCCCACGCGCAAAAGGTCAACAGTAGAGTAGTTTATCTGAATAGTTATATATTAATTGGTATCTTTGAGTTGTGAGAAAATCGCTGTCATCATCCTGGAGCCGAAACCTGAAATCAACCACCATCAAACACTATCAAACACTATCAAACACCAGCGCTCCCTCATGACATTATCATGATCTCGTCAAAATCCACGGCCGTCCAGTGTTCGAATCGCCTAGACATGAACGTTCCTGGCTTAGGCAGGCGCAGGTTTGGCCAACTCCTCCAAGATAGGCTTCTCCAAGGCCTCCGGCTTTGTCGTGCTCGCCCATCGTCCAGCAACCTTTCCATCACGACCGATCAAGAACTTCTCAAAATTCCACTTGATCCTCTTCATGCCCAACAATCCAGGTTGTTCCTTCTTCAGCCACTCGTACAGAGGATTGGCATTATCTCCATTTACGTCGCTCTTGCCCATGATTGGGAAAGTGACACCATAGTTGAGCTGGCAGAAAGACTGGACCTCTTCATCGCTTCCTGGCTCTTGCCCACCGAACTGGTTGCATGGGAAACCGAGGATGGTAAAATCATCACCGTGCTTCGCCTTTATATCTTTGTAGATCTTCTCAAGCCCCTCGTATTGCGGAGTGAAGCCACATTTGGACGCAACGTTGACAACCAGAACGACCTTTCCCTTGTGGTCTGCAAGTGGTACAGGTTGACCCCTCTCTATAAGGCGCATTATTGTCAGTTTATGCCCAGGAAGGTGGGGAAGGGGACCAGCGACGTCAACACGCCACCAACAAATGCAGCTCTAAGGCTAAGGAGATACATACTGTCAATAGGCTTGAAATCGTAAAAGGAAGTTGCTGATGCCATGTTTCTTAGTTTTGCTGCGGTGTGGAATTGATATTGTTGTACTGAAGGACTAGGAGCCCAGACGTTCAAGAATGGACGGGATTTGGATACACCGCGGGCTGTCTTCTGTGTGGGGTCTTTGAATGCAGATTGGAAGAGTGAGCGCGAGGCTTGCATGGACCTTTTATATGATTTTGTCGCACCGAAAGGGTTTGTCTTACTGCCGAGAAGAAAAATTGTTTGCGTATGTGTTTGTATGTATTTGTAAAGCGTTCTCTAGGATTCAAGATGATGAGGAAGCAAGACTGGTCTGGACTATCTCGGTGGAGGCATCCTATAATCCTGCGGACAAAACCCTTCGAAATCCTCGACCTCGGCTTGTGGTCCATCCGACTGGTTCCATGATCTCGTATGGCATCACGTGCATCCTGCATGACCCAGCTTAAGCAAACGGGCGGTTTGGAACTTTGGTGACGCCATGCAGTTGTTTCATAACCCACTTATGCCATTTTATGAAAGCCTGTTCGAACGGCTCGATCCGTGCGCCAGGTGCCGTTTGAAACAGCCTGGAAGCCTTGGAACATCTGGATATCGGTGAACTTTATTCAAAAAGTTATGGCTTCAGAATATCAGAGGCCACGAAATATCGTGATAGTCGGTAAGCTGAAGTCCGTCATAATCAGATATTAGCAAGCTGACAGTGTCGTAGGAGGAGGCATTATCGGGTGTACGACCGCATACTTTCTCACTCGCCACCCCGCCTTCAACCCCGCCATCCATAAAATTACTCTTCTGGAAGCGCAATCCATTGCTTCGGGCGCATCAGGAAAAGCCGGTGGACTTCTTGCTCTTTGGGCGTATCCGAACAATATTGTTGCTCTGTCGTATAGGTTGCACGCTGAACTAGCTAAGGAACATGATGGCGCGAAAAGATGGGGATATCGAGCTGTTCATTGCGGCTCGGTGACAGCCAAAGGCAAGATTAAAGCTCCAACACAAAAGAATGCAGAGGCGACGACAGATGTAGTGGAAGAATGGAAAAAGTTACCAAAGACAAGCATCAAGTCGAAGACGATCGCTTCGGAGCTACCGGATGATTTGGACTGGCTCGATTCGGATTCAATAAGAAGTTATTCAGAGATGGGAACACCTGCGACAACAGCACAAGTCCATCCATATCTTTTCACAACCTCCATCGCGGAACTTGCAGCCGAGAAAGGTGCGCAGATAATAATGGGCGCCGTCACAGGTATCGATAAATCGACTGAAGGTGTGAAGAGTGTTACATATGAAGATAAGGCGACGAAGGAGGTGCACACAATACCTGCGACAGATGTGGTAGTCTCAGCGGGACCATGGACCAACACTGTTCTTCCGGAAGCCCCAATAGAAGCGTTACGAGCGCATAGTGTAGTCATCAAAGCTGATGTTAGTCCGTACGCTGTTTTCACCGATATCGAACTGCCCAAAAACTACTCAGCGTCAAGGAAAGATGTCAAGAAGAGGAAGCATGGGAGATCTGTCAACCCTGAGATGTATGCAAGACCAGATGGTACTGTTTATGCTTGCGGTAGGATTTGCCAATTACCTTGTATCATATCCAACCACTAACATATTCATAGGTGAGGGAGACAGTATAATTCCACTTCCTAGATCTAGCGACCTCGTTGAATGCGACGAATCCCGATGCGATGACATATCCGACTATCTCTCTCTCATTTCTGAGAACTTGCGCAATGGGGAAGTAGTTGCCAAACAAGCCTGTTACCTTCCTCTAGTTTCGAGCCCAGGTGATCGAGGACCGATAATTGGAAAGACTGGCGTTCCTGGCTTGTTTATTGCTGCGGGCCATACATGCTGGGGGATTCAGAACAGTTGTGCGACTGGGAAATTGATGAGCGAATTCATTTTCGATGGGAAAGCTAAGAGTGCGAATATTGATAGCCTGGATCCTAAGCATGTTATGAATATGGGAGTATGATGGCATATACCTTGTAGCAGCATTGCCGTAGCTCAAGGGGTTTCCAGCGGGAAGTACGTATATTTCTACGAATCAATGGGTTGAAGATCCAATGAAGTTTTTACGCATCGGTAGACAGGAGATACCATCACCCTTGAGGTAACTCTAGGCGTAGATATAGAAATCCAATTCGCAATCAAGCTCGGATCATCGAGGGGGAAATATGAGGGTTAGGGTTATTTGGGGCTATGCTGCCAATTTAACACGATGTCTCAATCATCATATGCCTTCAAGTCAAGTTCAGCAAAAGAAAATCAAACTACCTCTCCTGTTTCAACACTGTCTCGGTGCCGGCTAACGATAAACACAGTACGGACACAATAATTATGCCCTGCCCCAGCCCCAGTAAAGCGGTACTTAACACTGTGCCAAGCCGGAAACCAGCCCCGAGCGCTCGGATAACCGGAGGCCGGTTGCCGAATTTAAGCGAACCCCTAACGCTGGGCAATTGGAGATATCCTCTCAATCCCGCGATCTTTGTTCGAGCTAAAATTCATGGAAACCTGAAGGTAAAATAAGTGCTAAAAGTACAATCGTATTGAAGATTGCTAGCATAGAGATATGTCATGATATTGTTAGATTTCTATTTCCTGCAACTAATCTTTTTTTTTGGGATCGTGGACTCATGCTAGGATGGTAAGAGATAAAAATTGACATTGTCCCTAATCAGGATAATCGTCGCCTTTATCGCCAGGCGTTAATTAAACCACCTCTCGTCACTAGTTTCCCATGCCGCAAGTTTAGCGGCACTTAATCCACTAGTTGTTAGATTTGTCGATGTTTCATAGACAAATTGTCGGGATATACTTGTATCTAACCCTGAGAACGCTTTTACGGTTGGACTCAACAGTGTTCATTCTTGTGTGCGAATCGTGTAATATGAGAAAGGGGGAAGGGATTGAGCGTGCTAATATTCGCCTTGGTAATGTTAAAAGGCGTGGTGGGGAAGATGTGGTTTGGACAGATAAGTACACTGATCACGCCACTGTCTTCATTACTAATCGGAAGATCGACATTGACGGTTGGAAATGGTGATTTTTGGATAGTGAAAGATAGTACTCAGGCTCATTACCTCGTTTGCTTGTACTTGCCGATATTTTCCTGACCCCGGTACGACAACAGAGCAGGCTTACACTCCATTACGGATACATTCACTAATCGTGGAGTGATACATTTTGGTTTGTATGATTTAGTTGATTTGTCAGGTGACGATGCAGGTTAGGGCCTAGGTCAAGATGTAAGATTCGGCGCCTCGCGAAACAATGTGCCATATAATCCCTCTAAAAACGATGGCTGGGGTGACGTTTACTGCATTGTTACTAAAACCTTACTAATGTAACAGCAAACGGATAATAAATATGGAAAGATGATAAAGCTAACAAGGGCCTGGAGGTTGCACCGAGTTATTTGTTGTGCCACAAAAGACTATCGTTACAGATACATGTTCTCAATAACACACATAGACTACGTGGATTGTAGATGCTCCATTCTTTCAGTCTTCGTCTACGAATATGAATGCATCTTTGAATCCTTTTTAGCCATATTGACACAACAGCGCCCAAGAATATGTTGACAGATGGCAAGAGATCTTGGTCAAGCATATGACCCAAGCGGTAGTTGAGAAATATTGTACCAGAATTTGATGGTAGGCACAATACAAGAGCTGTGGATGACGAGTAAGTCACATATCTATATTTCTTCAAATGCTTTTGTTGTGAAGGTGTTCGAGCAAAGGCTTGCCAACCTCTTCCTGCACAAGGCGATCTTTGCCGCGTTCTTCTGTGAGTCATGACAACATTCGTGATTGAGATTAACAAGAGAAATGGAGAATCGTACTGCCGAGAATGCCTGTAGCACTGGAAAAGATATGCCATTGAAGAGCAACGCGTCCAAGAGAGGATGTAGAGACGGCTATGCGAACCCTCCTGTCAGCAACTCCAAAATCTGGGAGCTTACATATTAGTGTTATCAACGCGATGAAAAAACGGATTCATAGTGGGTGTTGAGCGTCGTAAGTCAATCTCATTCTAACACTAATAAATAACCAACAGCATGACCGATAGAGAACGAACCGCGACAAGCAACCTATCACAGACTTATGCACTTATTTGACCTGGGATCAATTCAATGTACCAAAACTGTAGCCCATAAACGAAGGAACCCAGTGTGGAGGTCCACGAAAATCAGATGTTTTCAGAAAGGAAGCGTCCACAAAACGTGTGTTGCATTCACGACAAAAGCTGGCCACGTGCTCGAATAGTGTAGTCAAAGTATAGAACAAACACGACCGAAGGATCGAATAGAAAGTACTTAATGTAGACTAACTCGATAGTATGTAGACCGTTGTATACTATAGTGTAGACACTAATAAGATATTTAAATTCTAGATTTATCTATATAAAGATATATTTAAAAACTTTTATAATATAACCCTAGATTCTAATAAGAACTTATACTAGCTATACGTAAACGTCTTATAAATAGATAATTATAACTAGACTAATAATAGAATTATTAATAGTTAGTAACTCTTTAAGTCTTTTATAATAAACTTTCTTCTTTATTTATCTTTATATATAATTAATTTTATAAAGTATTTTTAATTTCTCTACTAATAATAAACTTTAGATACTATACTATAAACTAATACTTAACTTATTTATATTTAAGAGCTAGATTTAAGATATATTACCTTTATTTTTCCTTAATCTTTAAAGATAAAGAAAATATATTAGACTATAATTCTATAACTAAGTATTTTAATATATATAGTAAGTATTTAACTATAATTAAGTCTTATTTTAATAATTTATAACTACTCTATACTTTATACTTTATAGTAGATTTTAATATTTAGTATCTATATAGAGAAATAATTTAACTAATTAGAATTAAAAGTAAAAAATTCTAAAAGAAATTTAAAAGATAAGTAGAAATAATCTCTCTTTCTCTTTAAAGTTAATAGAAGTTTAAAAGTTAGTATTTATTATTATTTAATTTAGTTATTTATATATCTTAAACTTAATATTTTTTTATTTAACTTTAATAAAAATAAAAATAAATATAGATTACTTACTTTAAGTAAACTAAGAACTTAAACTAAGTTATAAATCTATCTACTCTATTTACTTATATAGTAATCTAAATTATATTCTATTAAAATAGAAATAAGAAGTAATTTTAAATTCTATAATATATAGAAACTTTATAGTAGTATACTAAGTATTTATATAATTATAAAGAGTAGTATATAAAGCTTTTAGTATATTTAAATTTACTTTAATTTCTCTTTTTTTCTTAATTAATAAATTAAAAATAAAGCTTTAATTAAAGTATATATTTAAATAGATTTTACTAAATTCTAGATAATAAGTAGTTTTTATATCTTATAAATATAGAGATATTTAAATAGTATACTTAGTAGTTATTATATTAAAAAAGAAGATATAAAATTTTTAGTAAGTTAAGTCTTATTTACTTTCTCTATATTTTTTAATTTATTTTTAAAAAGAATAAAGCTTTTAATAATTTATTTACTTAAACTAAACTTTACTAAACTTTAAATAAGAAATAGTTTTATTATATCTAGAATATAGAGCTATTTAAATAGTATAATTAATATCTATATTATTATATAGTATAGTAGAAAGCTCTTAGTAATATAGCTATATTTAATTCTTTATTTTTATTATTTTATAGTTTAAAAATAAAGCTTTTAATTAATATATAAAATCTTTATCTAACTTATCTTCTTATATATAGTTTTCTACTTAGCTATCTAAGCTTTAGAATTAGCTATTAGTATACTTAGTAGATATAATAACTATAGCTAGTATTATTTATATCTAAATAATCTAGACCTTTTAGTAAGTACTAATTACGACATTGGCTTCCTGTATACGACTCCGACTTTATTTCAAATGCGCATTCCTGCCTACGAAGGCTAAAAACAATGCGTTGCTGAAATTGAATTCTATTGATCCCTTGTGAATTAGCAGTTGAGTAGTTTACTACGTGATTCCGTCATACTAATATCGACGCAGAAGAATGTACACAGAATGTCATCAAAAAGATGAAGAAGTTGTTTCGAAGAATCCCTGCAAGTATGAAAACGCGGGTACTCACACAGTCAACAAACGCAGCGCAAAGGTTCATCAAGCATAGACTTCAATCAAAGCGAGAGGCAAACATCAAAGGAGAAGCTTTCAATAAAGGCAGACTGCAGATAGGAAAGAATGTCTTTTATTTCTTTTGGGTTGTCCAAAGGCGCAGGCATGTATCAGAATCAAATTAACGCCACTTCGATGCAAGTATGCATGATTTACAATCCCAAGACTCCATTCTACCATCCTAAACATATGCAAAATACCAGGAATTGTTCAAAAGTCATCAGCGCCGGAGCTCTCCCCATTGTCAGTGTTATCGTCTTCCTAGTTCGTATGATTCCATCACTGGTGATTTAGTCCAAATTATCATAACTATCTTCGCTGACATGCTCGTTCGTTGCCTTTTGCTTCTTGGCAGGTACATGCTTGTCCTCATCATCTGCAGCTCGCTTCTTCGCTCCTTTTGATGCCACTCCCTCCTCAGCTTGTCCTTGTGAGCCGCTGGTTTCTACAATAGCTTTCGCCTTTTTGGTAATGAACTTCGCCTTAAACCTGTTCCATCTCATACGTGCGGCGTGCTTTTTGAGCTCTGAACCCTGCTCACGACGTAAATTATCACCGAGTTCTTCGAAATTTGGAGTAAAGGTGTGCTTCGGGACTTTGCTTAAAAAGTCTTCGATGAATCTGTGATGATCCTCGAGTATGGCTAATCTCGCGCTCGCGGAGGATTGGGTGCATTGTAAATCCTGAGAATGACTCCTAACATCAACGAGAGCCTTGAAATATTGAGCCCAGGGGTGCCTTTTCTTTTCGAGTTGTCTGTAAATTTCATTGATCAGAGAGTTGTAGTTGTCGATGACTTTTGAGAGGTTGCTCGGAAACGTGGTTGCGGCTTCGCGACTAGACGAACTTGCTGTTTGGTCTGGGGCTGCTGGACTGAAGCATGTCAGATGCGTGGACCAAAAAAGAATCGGTGGACGGAATCGATAGACCTACACTTGCTTACGCTTGGATTTTTGAATTTTTGGTTGCACCATTCTGGCTTGGAGGGACGCGACTAGGCAGCGTGAGTGTCGAGCATAGGCAGAGAACACTGCACGAAAGTAACTAGACCGCCAGGCTAGACTTACCGATAATGGTATTAATATCCAGTTGAAAAGTCGATGCCGTGGGATGCGACGAATCTCGAATCCGTCGATGTGTTGGTAAAGAAGGAAAAGGAATTTCCCGTAAAATTGTAGCTTTTTATAGTCAGACTGTGGGCTCTCCAGGCGCACATCACGGTTGCATCGCCGCTATAGGCTAAGTGGTGCTCAAAGAGTGCTTATAGTGAAATGAATAGCAATATGATTGGAGGGTTGGTCGTTATCTATTGCGTACATTTTCATGCTCAGATAGAACCCTGCCGAAGGAAAGGTCAGGCGGATTGGAAGCGCGGAGCAAACTTGTTCACCACTGGAGCACACAATAGGAGCTGATCTATCACGAGCATCACTCTATATAGCTCTTTCATTGTGCTTCCACGGGATTGGGTCTTCCGCTCGCTGGATAGACATGGTCGAAGAGGTTGGGAATTCAACAGTTTGTATATACTGAGCCGAAAGGACCCACACTGTTCACCAGTAAAGCACAATAGTAGCACAGTTTTTATCTTAATTGTATGAGAATAATAGAAAATAGAGGTAATTTCTGGATAATGTGTTTTCGCGATCCAAGGGTTATCATCACTGGAGAAATAGTGGTATCTAGCTAATGTTACAGAGTCAACCATTGTGCCAAAGGAAACTGTCTTTTCGGCAAGTAAACCTTGGTAATATTGAGTTACAATTAGTCTGTGCCTGTTGATATCCTATGTTGTTTCTGGTTTGTCCGTTGGAGTTTGGGTCCTGGCGTTTAGAGGGCTGCTGCATGCACATGAGTGAATGAGAAGCAATACACGGCTTGAAGGCCATCCGGATTGCTGCGGCTGGCAATAGGGGCCGCCGACTCGGTGTAGATACAGTCAGGTCTTGCTCTCTGTCCTTTCAATCATGAGATTGGAATTATTGAAAATTCGGCCCCGCCAGTGGGGTGGTTCAACTTTATCTTATCACGCAACGTCCATGACACTGAGAATTTAGTGGAGCAGGTTCAATATAGCGTATTTGATAATATTGAAATGAGTGCGTATAGTCGTGTTCTACCCATCATGAAATTTTGTATCGGTTCCAGCTGGGTCAGAGCTATTAAGTTATATATCACGTACAAGTCACTTACAATCATATGTGACGCAGATATGGGGAGTAGAAACTGCTCTATTGTTTCCGCTAGAAGTCTATGTGTGCAAACTTTCCGTTGTAGCCATCGAATTTCGAGTTTCCTTTGTCATGCTCCAAGAGTGGAAGGCTAAGACACTCAACGCCACCAGACTACTCCTCGTTACCCATCAAATCTCATTCTCAGTACTCATCCTCGTCTACTTTCTCTATCTCCTCGCCTGTGATCTCGCCCTCAGACTCATCTTATTCTGCCTCTTCCGTGGTGTCGCCCTCAAACGGCTTCTCAACTTCTTGCTTGTGCCCTTTCCATCCTCGTCAAGGCGAAGTCTCTTGGTAGGTCGCGCACCCTCCTCCTCCTCTCCATCTGCCATATTTCCGTCTTCTGCTTCAACCATCTCCGCCTTTCTCTTCTTTGATTTAGCCGATTCTTCGAAGGTGATTCTGGCTTTGAGCATTTCGTAGACTTTGTCGAAACGCCTCGTAGTTGTTCCGATACCGTCAATGCCGAGGATGATGCTGACGACTTCCCAAGACACGTTCTTATCGATGAATTTCCAGAAAGTCTCCTTATGAACCTGCGCCAGCACTGCGGCGAGCATTTGTAGCAGTTGCTCATCCGTCAGATCGTGAGGTCCCATACTGGCGATAAACGTGAGGCTTTTTGCGATTATCTGTTGACCAGAATAGTAGTTACTATCCAACTGAACAGAGGGAGAGGTTGGTATGTAATGAGAAAGGGCATAGATCGATTACTTTTTGGTTGATGTGGGAGTCTGGTCTTGCTTCTGGTGATTTCGTTTTGGGGAGAAGAACGGAAAGGAAGAGAAGTTTCTTGTGGGTATTTATAGACCTGATTCACTGCATTTCCAAGTGCAATTTATCAACAACAATACTACAATTGTAGCCTTTAGAGCTAAACTACTTTTGACAATTTGCTCAGTTCCTTCCAATCCGGCGTTATCAACAATTTGCCGGGTTCTCAGGTGTGTTAGGACGTGAAGACAGTCAGTAATCTCTGTGATATCGTCAATTGCGTAGTTTACAAATTATCTTGTTGCTTAAATCGCAAGTAGTACATTTTTACATATAGGCACATTTGTTGTTTCGACAGTATACTAGAGCTTTGAAGCCATTTAAGCTATATTAGCATATAGTCGGGGTATAGACACTAAGAGTAGAAGTAAAGTTAAGAAAGTAAAAGAAGCTAATCTATATATAAAATCTCTACTTACTCGAGATTCTAAATATCTATAGCTAGAATAAAAACTTATTTATAGTTATATTTATAAGCTAGTATATTAACCTAAGTTTAGTAATTTAAGAAGTATCTTTATCTATAAACTTATTCTTTTTTAATAAATTAAAATAGAGACTATATATTTAATAGTTTTCTTTATAAAGTTTATAAATATATCTAGTTTATTATTTTCTAAAAGAATACTTATACTAAGATATTAAAATATAGAGAAATAAAGAAGATATATTTTACTATTTAATATATTTAACCTTTTAATATACTAGTTTTATTATAGTTATCTATAGATTAATTATCTTAGTAGATAATAGAATACTAAATTCTAAATAGAAGAATATATTTAATAGTTAAATAATACTTATTTTCTTTTTAAATATATTAACTACTCTATATAAATACTTTCTTTACTATATTATACTATAATAAAGCTAATAATTTTACTATAATTTTTATTATAATAAAGATTTAGTTTCTCTAAAGTAGTAATAATTTAAGAAGCTCGCTTAACTAAAAGTAGAAATTTAAAAAGTAAGAATTATACTATTTATTTTAATTAATATTTATAGTATATATTATAAGTATCTACTTATACTAGAAAGAAGTATTATAACTTTAAAGAAATTTAAAGAAATAATTAAAAATTTATTAGTAAATAATATAATTATATAGTTATAAATATAGATTAAAAATAAAAAGATAGAGTTATTATTACTATAGAGACTATTATACTAATATATAGTAGCGTTATTATTCTATATATTTATTTAATAGTATTTAAAATAAAATAAAAAATCTAGAGAGAAGAAAATAGAAAATAAGAAAGAAATCTACTTAATAATATCTTAGATAAATTAGATAAATAATTTATTAATAAAGTAAGAATTTAAATATCTTACCAAAAGGTCTTAAGAGATATATATCTACTAATACTATTAAAACCTCTAAATAACTTCTACTAACTAGAAAGGTTATTTCTAGTTAGTTCTAAAATAACTATTTCACAAAATCGTATTTCGAACTTAACTCATTCACGGCAAAGCAAATTTCGAACTTATCCTTAGCAATCAAACCTACTCCAATTCCGGTGCTTACAAACGGAATGCTTGGATGTAGGTTACACAACAAGATAGTAACTTGCGAAAGTCAACTCCCTGTTGCGGATCGGGCAGTCGCAGCACAAGGCAGCCAGAAGAGCATCACCTCTGTTTTTATCACCCAACGTAGCTTCTAGAGTACCTTGTGTCGAGAGTGAACGGCAGATGTAGAGAACAGAGTAATTTTAGACACCAAATATAGAAATGTCACGGGCTTGTTTGTCACTTTGCAATCTTGCAGGTGTCTTTGAGTTTACGAGATCTTGATTCGTGTCGTGGCCAGGTAGATATCCCAATGTATTGCGATTACAATCCCCAGAAGCGTTCCCATTGCCCAGATCTGTTGAAGCCTGCCAGCCGTTTCCACTGCTACGATCGATTCCTTCACGACTTATTCATCATCGTCGACTTCCTCCATCTTTCTCTTCTTCCCACCGGTTTTCTTGCCGCCACCACCTGCCTTCTTGCCACTGACGTCTCCTTCTTTCTTGTCTTTTCCATCAATTTCACTACCGCCAGCTACCTTATCCTTGCCAACCCCTAGCTCTCCCTTGAGTTTCTGCCACCTGTACTGAGCGGCGCGCAAGTTCAACAAGCCAGCGTCCTGAGCTAGACGTTGGAAATCGAGTGTCTGGCCTTTTTCAATAAATTGGGTAATCACGGCTCTGAGGAAGTCGTTAACCTTATTTTCAGGCATTTTCGAAGAGTGACCTAACCACATGGTAAGAGTGGATCGACGGTAATGAGAAAAGACGTAGGACTTACAGTGTTTGTTTGTTTATTATGCAGGCTGGAATTCTTTGTGCGGGGATTGAGATCGTTACAGTTGAGATTTGTTGTTTAGTGGTGGAGGACTAAAATGAAAGGTTGGGAGGAAACAAAATCAGAAGAGCCGATATAGGTTCACTAGGCTTATCGGCTGGAAAGTACGAGAAACATTCCTCTTACAAAGGTGATGGAGTGAAAATCTTTATAGAGATCGAAACGGGCCAAGAAGTAGACTGTTGCCTTCTCTAATAAAGCATTTCTAGTTTTGTTATCGAAGGTGAGAGGAGGTGCTTGATTTACCAGATGTTATCTAAAACAGCTTTAAATCCCCCAACATAGCTGGCGACAGGAAATAAACACTTTGTATAAATGTGACAAAGAGAGCTGTCGATAGTGCTACGATCGGGAATAAAACATGCTTTCGCTGAATTTTAGCTTCTATATTTAAGAACTTGGGAGAGCTCAAGTAGACAACTTGAACTTGTAATCTTGTAACCCTCTTACACCAACATCAACTTTAAACACGCCGCCTCCATACTTCTTGCTCTCAACATTGGTTTCGTCCTCCTCATCAGCGCTTGTAACCCACAGCTCAGTGCCAACGAAGCAAGGACATGTGATACATCTGGTAGGATACTTGATCTCACCAATAATATTGCCCCCTGGTGAGATCTTCAACACTCGGCTCTCGCCATAGATGGCCTGCCAGATGTTTCCTTCTTCATCCATCTTAAATCCATCAGGATCTCCATCGCCATCATGCTCCCAGAACGTGCGCTCATTGGACAAGTCACCAGTCGCAGCATCGTAATCAAAAGCAATGATACGCTTCTCGGTTGAGTGAGTAAAATACTGAGTTTTCTTATCCCGAGACCAACCGACACCGTTTGGAATCGTCAAAGAGGTGCGCATGGTAGTACGTGTGAGATCATTGCCAATCCTGAATAGCGTTCCTGGAATGTGTTAGCAAACCCACCTTTCTTTAGAAAAAGCAAACATGGGAAAGCGCCTCGCATGTGATGAAAGATGGGAAAGATAGAAAAGGCCAAACCGCCAAAGACATGCATCATGACGAACAAAGAAAGTTTCTGCAGTAGATGTAAAACATCTCATACAAGCCAAAATGACGCGTTGCACAGAAAACGGGGACTTCACAAACCTTCTGCTTGGGGTTCACCGACCCAGAAATCGTTCATGGTAGTAACCCAGAATCTCCCGTCTGTATCGACAGCTCCATCATTACTTCTCAATCTCTCATCCTTCTCCTCATCATCATAATACTTCTTCAGCAACCCAAACCCGCCCGTTTCTCTATCAAGGATATACACCCCATTCTTTGCCCCCACTAGAATCTTCTTGCTGGAATCTACACCCTCAATATCAGCCGTCACCCCCACGGACATATCCAACTCCAGAGTTTTTAGCGACTCGGGGCCAACATTAAGATCCACGGAATGAAGACGTTTGTTTTTGATATCCACGAAGCGAAGGGTGTTGCGCTCGGCCTCGTAGTATGGTGCTTCTCCCAGCCCACAGTGGATATTGAGGTAGGGTTCCGTGACTGTCCATCTTCGAATGTCCGGCATCTTTGAGGATGTGAAGAATGAAACGATTTGAGGCCACCAGGATAAGTTTTGTTTGTTCGTTGATATGGACCCGTTGGTAGTTCGGTTGGACGTCATAGGAGATCCGAACATAAGCGTGATGTGGGCTGCGAAAACAAAATATTCGACGCGCGCAGCGGAACACTCCAATTCAACGATACGTCACGTCTATAACTCCGCCCAGAGGATGCACTTCCGATATCTTATCGAGTTAGAATTGTCACTCAGACATCAGATTACATGAGAAGATACATCAAGAACGGCAGCAATTCACTTATAAAGGTAGTCAAGATTCTGGACATCCTTTCGTCCTGGGCAGGCGGCCCGACATTCCATCCAATTCGTATCTTTTCCAGTACCCGACGTCTCGGAAATCCTTATGTTTCTCCATCGCGATGGTGGATTCGAGCTGGCTTTATTTTATGGATGTTGTGCGGCTATGTGGCCGTTTTGCCTAATGGCGTGGATGTAGGTTGTCCTGTGCATCATTGATGACTTGCGCGAAAATATATCCCGTGTTGAACCAGATGGCTGATCCCGTGGTATGGAAGCTTATTCGTGCGTTTACTTCCATGTTAAGATACTGACGTTCTACAGTAGGGTCGAGGCTTATCTCGCATGTTTACAACGGGCGTGTCGCTCCAGATCACAATTATTACGATACAAGTGCCCATGCAATTTTAGTCTTTACGATCAGTCACAACCCAAACGACGCCGTTACGCTGGTGTTGTCAGAGAATACGAGCACATTACCTTTGCCTCGGAAACTCGTCACGTTGCATTCTCCTCAGTTAGCTTGAGGTTGCACCGTTTCGAAACTTTCTTGCTAGTTCGCATGGCTTTCGTGTGAACTCCCCTAAGCCGCTGCGTCTTGCACTACGGGATAAACTCTACAACTAAGTGATCTGATCAATCTGATTGGAATGTCGAAGCTGTAGGTTTAATTCCAAAACACACTGGTGTGGGTACTACTGCGTCTGCAATGATGGAACACTTGTAAACTTACGAACGCTTCTCAGACGCTATCAAACCTTACTTTGTTGCTGATTTGATTCTTTTATCGTCAATAATTCAACCAAAGTCGATCTTCCACAAGCGACAATCTCTCTCTCACCGACTTTGCGGGAACTCGGAAAATGTAAAGCTAGAATCTGTGCGATCAGAAACATTAGCTCCTCATTGACCGCTACAATGCAATCGAGTTACGAATCTAACGATACTCCGAACTCACCGCATCAGTATCTGCATACAGTGTTGGCAAGCAATCGGAAGCATGGAGAGTGGACCGTCCTGCTTCTATATCCAACTTCTCATTCCTGATTCAAGTATATGCAGCCTTCAGCAATTGTGCATGCATTGTCACCTGCTTAAGCGCCATCTCATACCATTCGAATTCAATCACTCGAATGATGCGCGAAACACTCGCCTCACGCACGAATGGTGTGCATCTCGGATTTCGAATTGATATCCGGTAGACCGCTGTTCGGCACTTATGTCAACGTGACAGTACGAGTAGTACAAACAATAGGGCACTGAAGGTTAAAAACCAATGCAACACTCGGTGGTCGGACCCTCATGCACGATGCGGTGTTGCTGAAGAACTTCGCACCACGCGACTGCCCATCTATTGAGGCCAGGAATGATACGTGAACTTTCAAGCCTCCAGGATATGTTATTCCTTCCAAGCTGCATAGAACGGACAGTTGTCATGCCTTTGAGATTTCGACTATTTCTAGAAGACAGGATCACCAGCATGGTTAGCTCTCTCTCTCAAACACAAACCCATGTCAAATAAGGTTGTTTCGCGGTTCCTTTCGTCGCAATGCAACTGCAACCTTGAAGGCCAGCTCGCCCTGGATGCTTTTGCAAGCTCATGGGCTCCGGTTGGGTTGTGATGTAATCTTTTGACAGGCTTTTGGCCGGGCCCCGTGACTGTTTCGAGATGCACGTCCGTTATCAAGATCAATGCATTAGCTGCATGTCCTGGGGTACCACGTCTCTCCAATTTCTCCTTGGGATGAGACAATGGAAACATGGGAGCCAATCGAGGGTACGCGTATTGCGTTTCCCCCGCCTCATCCTCATTCTCGAATTAATGGCAGCCTTACCCTTTTATGCCGAGACGTTTTGCATTCGCCTCAACTTTTGTTCTTCGAGGCGCGAGATAGGATTTTACGCCTTGCTATTCTCGCCGCGCTTGAGCATAAATCATATGCAAAAGGAAATGTTCTAGAGTCCGCACTTTACGTATCAAACGGGGTAGGCTGATCCTAAACGAGGCTGTTTTTGATGGAATTGCATAGCATAACTCCCCGGGCCTCGATAATCATAGAAGTTGTACTATCAATACCTGGTCGAGCCGCTATGTGACCAGATCAAGTCAAACAACATCCACGCCTCAATCTCGAACCTCATCAGCACGAGAAAAGGGGCACTTCCGTTCGGTGTTCGCAAAATCCGCATCGCAGATTATTGTTAGCTGGGGCTTGTGCACTGTATTTTCGGCACTGGTTCCCACGACCCGCCGTGTGACGAAACTAAGGAAAGGCCTTAAGTGGTTCCGGGCTGCTGATCCAGGAACGGCGACGCTAATTAATCGACAAATCCAGCAGCTTGGGTTGAGATTGTGATGTGACCTTAAATGACGCGGATGTTCCAAGCTGTGATCATCAGAAATGACCAGACCGGTTTAAGCGATTGAACCACTGATAGTGTTCGAAGTAGTTAGACGTGGTTCTCAATACGGAAAGGTTGAAGTATAATCAGGCCGATGAATTCAACTCAGGCACCTGATTCCCTCGAACTGTTCAAAACCAAACCACTTTTGAGCAGCTTTGACGGGATCAACAGTCGAATATCAAGACATCGCTAAGAAGCGCGGATCGGGACGATTAGTGAGACATTTCGACTGAATTTGGGGGTACCAACCAGCTTCCAACTCGGGCCGCTCTTGTTATTGACGCATGTCGAACTCTTTGGTCCAGTCTCCGAACTTGCCGTCTTTCATAAGTGTTTGAGCTCCTAAATCGACGAACGTGGACATTAATACCCCTATGCTATGCCAAAGCAGCTTTCCTCCATCGGCATACAAATTTTCAATGCTACAAGTAGGCGTTAGCATATCTTTGTGGAGCTCTTTGATGAACATTCCAGACATTGCCGAACTTTCTTGGAGTAGACCAATTGCTAGACAATTTAACTAAATTGAAACTACCTACCGTTATTGTTCGAAGAGGTGGTGTGAACGATGCTCATCGTACAGATACCAGGCCGACGTGCTTTTTTAACATTAATTCCATCTCGATTTTGCACAGCTCGAGCCTGAATCACTTCGCGCTATCTGAGACGAGACATCACTGCCGTTGAGACCCTTAATAGTCTTACGCGGCGCCTCCCCATACCGAAAGACGAGGTCTTGTCGAGCTTGGGAGAAACTGTTTCGGACAAGCTACGCCTTTCTTGAGCTTGGATCGACATCAAACTTATCATATGATGCCATCCTCGGCGTCAGGTACATCTCTGTTGGGCCGCCATGCGTGTAGACCAAGGTCAAGTCTCGAGACGTGTAAGTTTCCAATATTCTAAAGGCTGGAGCAGGCTTTCGGATCCCTTAGAAACGGCACAGCAACTGTCACCCGCACTTCGTGGCTCTTGATTTGACCACTCATGACACCTATTGATCTTTTCGAATGACTGGCTGGGGTGGGTATGCACGCGTTGCGCAATTGGTACAACACCGCTCATCCCACGGCTCGTGGGCAATCCTTGAAAGACGTGGAGATGGTACCAAATTGGATACGAAAGGGAGGGAAGAGCCATTTGATATACCGTAGTTTGCGGAGCTGGACTCCAAAGTTGGCTTCTTACGAAATAAACTCGCAATTTATCAGTGCGCATGTGGACTCCATCGTATGCAACTCATCCTGCCGCCGCTCACTAGTCGCCGACTATATGGTTCAGCTGCTATAGGAAGACGTAAACGGCGAGCATAAGATGAAGCATACGGAGTAAACACGAAAGCTATCATCGTTTTTTGCGTTTGCCTTGGGGATATGCTTAAGCGTAGCGAAGGCTGTGTAAGGTTACGTCTTGCCGGAAAGGAACCTCGGATCGATTCAAAAACGTGGAAGGTAACCTAACATCTCGCAGACTCGGCAGGAGTATTAATGGCAAATTGATGTCATTATTTTGTGTAAAGTCCAATTAATTAAGACGCCACCTCGCTCGCGACTGTCATCGCTTTCACGTGTTTCCATACCAACTGAATGGAACATCGTCTTCGAATATTACCGCCAGCAAGGGTATTGCCTGGGATCCTCGTGGCTGCCAGGATTAGATGACTTGATTCCAGCGGATGCACATGAAAAATCCTTGTAAGTGGAAGTTGTTGAAGACCGAACAAGGGGACAAAGGAGAGCAACCAGCCCATGGTTACAGGGCTGGAAATTGTCGCAGAAATTTCACGAGTTCTCGTAATTATTATTGCGTGGCCAGCCAAACAAAAGCAAGCATCCCGTTGTCTGTGGAAATTCGTGGTTGTCAGCATGCGCTCCCCGTGCCTAAACGGTCTCAGCCGACAAACATTGGAAGCTCTATCGAAGGAGCATTATCCGGTTGTCGCTTGGGGGCTTGTCACACCTGCGCTGGGGTTGTTTGACTTGTTGGGTCGCGCCCGGCAGGTAAAGAGCGCCCATAAACCCGCCCATGTAACGCCTTTTGCTTCCCTCCTCGTGAGGAAGAGGGTGACGTGGGGAGCACGTTCCGATGCACTTTTCGCACGAGCAGACCTACTGCTGCAGCCGCTCTGATGGTAATGGGCTAGAAATCGTGGAAGGATTCAGTATTGAAGACGTCTCTGTGCATGAGTAGTGCTCTTCCAAGCTTCAGTAGTTCCAGCCGTTTTGGATCACACCCGACAGTAAAGTTGGTGCGGATGGGCTACTGCACAGCGATAAAGAGCTCTCCAGCAATCACATCAAGCACACAATCGGGCTGCAGCCCTTAGCTGCATGGCATAACGTGCTGCTGTTCGGGAAGCACCAAACCTACGGTGAAACTAGCAATTAGGCTTCCCAAAGTCAGACAGCCCCCATCAAACTAGACCTGCATTCGCAAGTTCAAGCGACCCAGCTCTCAACCACCTCTTCAAAACATGAAGACGGGGAACAATGGAAAACTGGAACGGGCTGCTCTGGAATCTGGTAGCTGGAATCCCTCGCGGCTAAAGCACACTTGAGTGGTACCCAGACTTGTTTCGGAGAACGTGAGGCGCAGAGGTGGCTGCACCGAACATTGTTAGGCGCCGTTGTTTTTGACTGCTGTTGACATGATTGATTGCTCAGGAAATTCAGCAAGCGAGCTACGCTCATTGAAGCTAATCCCGGGTTTCAATGTTGTCGAGTCCATTGGTGCTCCTTTGGTGCCTCATCTCGGCCGCCGGACGGTGAAGGAAATTTAGCAGTTGGGAAGAGAAGTATCAGGGAATTGTACCCATTTCGGGCATGACGCTCAAGTGAGTAGGGAGTCGCGAGTGTCACCAACAGCAAAGTCGCAAAAGTGTTGCAAGTTATGGTAATTTGTATTCAATTGATCACTGGCGCGGTGCAAACATTTCTTCACCGTCCCTGTACGTAGAGTAGCATCTGTCACCAACATGGCCAACTTCAAACGCTCCCGGTCGCTTCTCTGCTGATAAGACGGCCATCACAAAGAGATCTTCTTATTTCTCGGCCGCAATCCTATCTCAGTCAATTTTGGATCATCGGTGTGTTGTCATAACCAGCAACCTGGAAGTCACGTAGCCGAACTCTCCATAAAACGTGATCAGCTAAGATTTTCTGGGTAGCTTACCCACGGCCTCCCGCCTTCCGCGTGCGCTATGAATCCCAGAGAGACAACAACTCCAGCAGCAGTGCGCACTTTTATCTCCACAGCAAGTACAGCTCCGTCGAGACCCTCGTGGGCGAGAACTCACCAAGTCTTCGGCCGTCAGGCTCTAACCCTCCTCTAGCAACGGTCACGTCAAACATCAGGTTAGCACAGTTAGCATGCGAGCCGCGAGTGGCATTGGCCCCAGTACCTTTGCCTCAACTCCTTTGCAACCAAAGCCTGCAGCCTTTTAACAGCCCACGAGAGCGTGGGAGCATCTCGCGGAAGGTTCGCACATCCCAGTCGTTGGAATCCGACCCGCTATAGCTTACCTTGTCTTCCACTCACCCACCTAAGCTAGCATACCCTTGAGCGTTCCGACCCAAAGACAGGGATGGAAGAAGGTAAAGGTTGATCTCCTTGGGCTCTTGGGTCACAGCCAGAAATGGGCCTGCTGATAGTTCACTCGTAGAAGCTGCCCTGGTTCGCGATGCCCTGGCACGGCAAAGGCTTTTCTTTGGCTCCCAAAGGTCTGTGGGTGGAGAGTGAGACGGGCAATCTGAACGATTCAAAGGCCAAAAGCTTGGGGTTCCCCAATGCAATAGAACTGCAGCTGTGTGGAAAAAGGCTGCAGAGCTAAAAGCGTCATCCAACAACAACACACCCACCGCCATCCATCTCGACACATCGAGGTGCAGATTCCCCATCAGCCTGTAAAACCACACGGAAGACGACCATTTTTCTTACTCGCACAGATTCAGATCCTCTTTTTCGACCAGTCGCGAGCCACTGCTGACCGTTCTTTTGCTGAGTGGCCCGCCTAGCCCAGATTCGTCCCCAAATCTATCGCCCTCCCCACTTCCATGTACGTCTTGCACCACCACCCGCCTTCTTCATCGGCAGGAGTGGTTATATTCCTCGCACGCGCAGTCAACTAACATCCAGTGACTCGTCTTTTTAGTGATCAGCTGTCCTCTATCGATACCGAGCGGCCGTAGACACAGCCTCTTTCGTCCAGATCAACCAGCAAGTCTCTGCCATTGGAGCATCCCTGTTTAAACAACTCATCTTACAGCAAAGAAACAAATACACCTCATAAACTCCCCAGCCGCCGTAACCTACCATGCTTTACGCTTGATGGTTAACTTGAATTCCACAGAGCCACACTTCTTAGAATAGCATTCAGTGCTGACTTTCACCGCTCACTCGGAGGGACTGACTAAGGAAACTCTAAAATTCAATTCACACTGGCTGTTCAACACCTTCGCAGTCGTCCGTTGCACGGAGATCCTGTATCTATCATTTTCAAACAAGAAGCACCAACATATCCAAAACTCATACGCGCTCCCGGAAACCAAAATTCAGAAGTGACCGAAAAGCGCTTGGCTGACTTCGTTCACAAGCTTCACAGCTTCCAGCAAAGTTGGGAGGATAGTGGGAAAGGTCAATGTCCCGGTCCTCGGGACCAGCTAGGGTTAGGGGATCAGGACTCGATGTCGCAGAACCCATCTGCGTCTCGTCCTGCATCAAGGTCGCCAACCGATGGTCATAGGACTGCGTTGCCATCTATTCAAGTTCGAGATGACCTTAGACAAGCCGGCAGACCGGTAGAGAGACAGCGACCAGTATCCGCGGGGAGAGGATTTCAAGGACAACCGTCACCTCAGAGAGTGAGAGATCCTCAACCTGCGCGACCCGTAGAGAACTGGCGAGGGCCTGGAGCTTCAAGAGATCTTGGAGTTCACTCGATTCTTAATCCTTCAGAACCAGAACCCAGGAGCGCAACCAGTCAACGTCCGGGAGGTTCAATCGCTGGCTCGCCATTATCTGTAGTAGGCCCTCTTTTTGGTGCTAGTCCTTCCAGGACAATCTCAAACACATTTCCAAGCTTACAGCCGGCTTCAACCACTCCACCGACAGCAGAGGGTTATCCTGCGCCCTATCCGCAACCGCGACGGATTCTCACTCCAAGATCTCCATCGCGATCCCTGAGTTCTAGTCGCGGTCGAGGTAGAGGTACCATCGATGCTCAGCGATCCCCATTTTTACCGTCCAGAGGACGGGCCTATACCACTGAAACAGAGCAGTTGTCAGGATCACCGCCAATTCCAGCCACTACGCAATCCCAACAACACTACGGATTCCCGTCATCTGCGAACCTTCCTGAAGATCGAAGGACGAGCATGCCTTCTATGAATGACCCAAGACTAGCTCCATTGTCTCAAAGCGCAAGTCCTAGTGTTTCGGCGTCGTCTTTGAATCCGTCGTCAGCTCAAACTTCGCCAGCATCTTTCCTATACAGCAAATCAGGACCGGGGCAAGCGCCTGCGCAGTCATCCTCTTATTTTCCTGGATCCAGTTTTGCGACATCGGTGAACCAAACTCCTGGTAGTGGTGGAATAGAAGGAATGCAATACCAGGGGACCCCAGAAGGTCCGTACAGCGCTCCCGCTTCCCAGACTCCCGGTGGCAGTAGTTCTCTCAATTCCAACAATGCTGGCAGCTCAAGGCAGACGTCAGCAAGCGATCCAATACAGGTCTTGACGATTACTACATCGTCAGGACAGTATCAGGTACCTGTGGATGTACACCAAGCGTCAAAGTTAGCTGACGAGAAGCGTGCGCGCAACGCAGGAGCCTCAGCGCGATTCCGTCAACGTAGAAAAGAAAAAGAAAAAGATGCTTCGATCAGTATCGAAAAGCTACAAACAAACACCAGAGAGCTAGAAAGAAGGCTTAGAGAGACCGAGCAAGAAAGGGACTTTTACCGCAGCGAAAGAGATAGGTTTCGGGATGTAGTATTTCGCACGCCCGACATGCGCCATCTTGCTATGCAGACTCCACCCAGTCCGCGTACTTTACGGGGCGGCACTTCATTTGCACCTCCAGGACAGCAGCTAGCAGGACCAACTCCTCCGACTCAAGGCTTCAACCCCCATCCGCAACCGTCAATGAACGATACAGCGCCACGAAGAAGGAGAATCAACACGCAGGGCGATTATGCGACTTCACCTTACTCTAACTCGCCACCTTCGACGCTACCACCAGTGCAAAATCCCGGCTATGCAACTGGTCCGCCGCAAGGTTCACAGAATCTTCCTCCGCTACGTCTGGAGCCACCACAAGCGACGACGCAAAGCATTGTCTCGACAGGACCACCTAGCGCTACTTTGGGGCCTCAGCAGCATTACCCGCCGTATGCTGGAAGACAAGGACCATATGATCCTGCCAGGCATCCACCACCTGGAGACAGCAAACATCGCTAATCATATTTAAGTTGGATACGAGCGAATTGTCTTTGCCACAAGTTTGTCTTAGATACCTCGTCAATACCTACATTTTGTCGTTTTACGCACTTTGGCATGGCACGACCGTAGTGTCTCCTCGAATTTGTTGCATACTCCTAATGCTTTGCCGCGCTCTTCGCTACTTTGTCTGCTACTTTGGTCCGGAATGTACTGAGCGAAATCGAAGTAGAGTTTGTTAATACCGGGCAACCGATGATACCAGTTTGTCTGCCACCAGACTCGGCAGAATTTACTAAACTAATCTTCATTGCGAATACCCTTGATGGATTTGGCGCACGCACGTTTTATATTCCGATTTTCATTTGTTATTTTGGTTCATCATGTTAAGCGAGTTGCGATTGTGAGTAGGACGCAGGTGAGACTTGGGATTGAGTCACATCGAGGTACTCGGATGAGAACACACATACGTTTTCTTTGGTCGGTCGGTGCTTGAGCTTATTGAGGAGTCTTTGGTGTTGTAGAGGTCTTCTGGCCCTGTTTTTGAGGTGGGAGTGGAGGATTTAAGGGTTCGTTTGGCCAGTGCGGTTCAAAGATAAGGAACGAGCTATCAAAGGGTTGTAAAAAGAAATTGGAAAAATTGGCACGAATGCCAGGAGCCAGGCTGGGGATATAAACAGAATGTACAAAAAGGCTGTGTATATGTTCGTCGAAGTTTTTAGTTTGTTTTTAGCAGGAGTTTGGGTAGGCATTTTGCATTCTGGCACAGTTGGGTGTTTGTGGAGATCGGTGTTGTCTATGTTTCAAAGTATTGACTTCGGAACTCGAGCTCAGCGTTACCTAAATTACTTATTACATCGCTGCTAAGATAGAATCTTCAAATGTTCTCACGTGATAGAGGGGTAATGTTCATGGAGCTTCAATTTGTCGTTGTCGTGCTTGGAGCTTTTGTGCAAGAACAGTTCCTCCACGGCGCTTGCCTGCGGATCAAATGCAATCATATCATACATGTGGTTACAAACCTTTTCCGAGCACCTTAGCCATCAAGTTATATGGTTTTTGACCAAAAGGAGGTTGAAAGCTGTTGGTTCAAAAGTATGGTAAATGGTGGGGTCATCCGCGCTAGACTGGATCGGGAATTTCCATCCGGACGACGCTTGTCTACTACGAGAAGCTATTCGAGACCAATTCTACCACCCCGCTTACGTGCGACATCGACTACCACCTCCCTCCACCTTTGAAGAACTACATATGCCTTGGGGCTCTTGCTTCCCGTCTTACCAATGTTCAAAGCCGTTCTACCATTGCCCACATATCTCCGAATTACCGTCTTGAAACAGCTTAGAGCTCCGAGTTTCAATCCCAATCTACAAACGCAGCTGAAATCCCGAAGCTCTACAGCTAGACTGAGAATATATACCTCGAGCCACAGATTCCTGAGTTACACAGCAGCTAGGATGTCTGATCTATCAGTTGAGCTCACAGCTCCCAATGGTCGAAAGTACACACAGCCGACAGGGCTGTTTATCAACAACGAATGGGTAAAGAGCAGCAGTGGAACGAAGATTACTTCCATCAACCCTACGTATGTCTGTTCTCCGATAGCTTGTCCTTGAGCTGAGCTTAGCTTAGTGACGAAACCGAAATCACATCCGTCTATGCAGCAAGCGTCGAAGATGTCGACAAGGCTGTGGCTGCGGCGCGCAAAGCCCTCAAAGATCCATCATGGCGCGACATGGCTCCCACCGATCGAGGAAACATGATGATCAAGCTTTCCGATCTTGTTGCCGAACACGCAGAGACGCTAGCGACGATTGAGACCTGGGACAATGGCAAGATCTACGCGGATTCTCTGGGTGGTGACTTGGAGGAAGTCAAGGGATGTCTTCGATACTACGGCGGTTATGCGGATAAGATACACGGAGAAACAATCGATGTTGGACCTGATAAGTTCGCGTATACGATTAAGGAGCCGGTTGGTGTCTGTGGTCAGATCATTCCATGGAATTATCCTCTGGCTATGGCGGCGTGGAAACTAGGACCTGCACTGGCTTGTGGAAATACGATCGTTATCAAAGCCGCTGAGCAGACGCCACTGAGCATCTTATACCTTGCCAATCTTATCAAGGAAGCCGGCTTCCCACCTGGGGTTGTCAATATTCTCAATGGATACGGAAGAGAAGCAGGAGCTGCCATCGCTACTCACCTCGGGATTGATAAGGTTGCTTTCACCGGAAGTACTGCAACTGGAAAGGAAATTATGAAGCTGGCATCGGTGAACATGAAGAATATCACGTTAGAAACTGGAGGAAAGAGTCCATTGATCATCTTTGAAGACGCAGAATTGGATCAAGCCGTCAAGTGGGCGCACATTGGTATGTCGTTCCCATCAGTTCGGTAGCCCCACTTTTTCTCGCTTCCCCTATTTTCCGCATTCCTGTTAGAAGCTTATTTCATCGACAAGAGATGGAGCATGTGAGACATTGGGCTTGTCTATCTTGCAGTACTGTATGTGTATAAGCTTACTAATATGTCTCAGGAATTATGTCCAATCAAGGTCAAATCTGCACCGCCACGTCGCGAATCCTAGTACAAGACACCATCTATGACAAATTCATTGAAGACTTCAAGGCCCATGTGAAGCAAATCTCTGTCGTTGGGAATCCTTTCGACGAATCCACATACCAAGGTCCTCAAGTCACAAAGACACAGTACGAGAGAGTCCTTGGTTTCGTACAATCGGGTAAGGATGAGGGGGCCACACTCGTTTCAGGCGGCGAGCAATTTACCAGCGGTCCTAAATCCGGAAAGGGTTTCTTCATCACCCCAACCATCTTCTCAGATGTAAAACCCACCATGAAAATCTACCGCGAGGAAGTCTTTGGTCCATTCGTCGTCATCGCCTCCTTCAAGACCGAAGAAGAAGCATTGGAAATGGCAAATGATACTACTTACGGTCTTGGAAGTGCTGTGTTCACGCAAAACCTGCAACGAGCGCATAGAGTGGCCAAGAGGATCGAGGCTGGTATGGTCTGGATTAATAGTAGTAATGATTCGGATTTCCGCATTCCGTTTGGTGGTGTGAAACAATCGGGGATTGGGAGGGAGTTGGGTGAAGCGGGGTTGGCGGCTTATAGTCAGACTAAGAGTGTACATGTTAATATGGGGGCGAAGATATAGGTTAGGAAGCATCACTTGCCGGGAGAAGATAGCTCTGAGAGTAAGTGAGAGATGATGATGAAAGGCTTCAAAGCGAGGAATCCATCTTTGCCGTGTCGCTCAAATTTATACCCGAAATAGATATTACATCTTCCGTCTTGGTTGGCAATACTTATGTCTTGATCATTGCGATTACGGAGAAGTTCAAGCGAGGTAAATATGAGATGGCATCATCCATCGACCTTTTCTCTGCCTGTGAGGAGAATTTGACTTTGTTAGATTCCTGGAATGATAAAGGGAGCTTGAGCGAGTTGTATGTCTGTGATACTCTACATTCCACTTGGCATTTTTGTGGACAAAAGTGCTCTCTGAATAAAAAAGGTCCTTTCATCTGGGGAGATCTTCCAAACAATCATTGATGGAATATTGTGGAAAGCTAGAACAGAAGTTTACAGATTTTCTCTTCTGTCAACAATTCTCACTGATAATTCTTCTTTCTCGCACCTCGTGGGCGGTTTTTCGGAAGTTGAAATTCTTGTCAGGGATATTTACAGACAGATACTTTCAGTTTTTTCTAAATGCCGGTGACTTTTGGCTCAAAACCACCAATGATATCACTACTAGCCATCGCTCCAGTAACCACTTTCGTCTCCGTGGCTTTAACTTCCTTCGTGCTCGTCAACCCATCATCACCCAACGCCGGAACTGTTCTATTCTTATTCCTCTTACTCTCAATTATCATCAATCTTCCCTCATACTCCTTGACAGCCGCCTCCATATCATTCGGCCAGCAACTCCACTTTCTAATCCCCGGTCCGGTATACCTCTGACCACCAATACAATCCCAATCCTCCACGCCCTTACACGTCCCCATCCGATGGCTCTCAGGCGTGACATGACAATCTGCCCACCTCTCGCCTTCCCGCGTCAAATAAGCTTGGTCGTCGAAATAATTCTCGACTTGCAAATTGTTGATGCCGCCGAGGTTGAAGAGAATCTGGTTCGTGACGTCGAGCGCGGACCAGCACCAGTAGGTTTCGGATGTGTGTTTGGAGGTTGCGGGGGGTGGGAGGAAGGCCAGGAAGGTCATTACTGGAGGCCAGAATACTTCGCCTAGGTAGATTGGGAGATGAGGGTCGTGGAGTTGGGTTGTGGGTGGTGGGTTGTCTTTTTGTTTTGCTAGGGCGAGGGGGAGGAGGGAGAGGAGGTATATGGGTTTCATTTTGATTTGAGATTGCTTTGTGTATAGAAGGAATAGGTGACTGATTGAAAGAAATTTGACATGAAAAAATAGCAGAAAGTTTTGGGAGTTCTTTTCTGAAAAATGGTAATACGAAACGTGTACTCAAGAAGTTATCTACGCGTGACGCGACTAGCAGATTTCGACCTCGGAGGAAGCATTTCCATTGAGCCTGATATTACCTTCACAAATTTGAAGCTTGGGTGGTTGAATAATTTATCCGATCCCTGACTTGGGAAGTTGGAGACCCCGCAATTCCTGGACTCTCATACCTTTTGCTGGAGTCACGAGATGAACCGAATAAACTCGTATGAAACACATTACATTCCTCTACGAATGCTGTGTACGCCGAGACGAAGCAAGACGATGCGGTTGAGAAGAAGACGAAGGATTTGACGTTGAAACTGAGTCATACGCCGTCATGTCTAGCAAGGGAGACCCACATGTCAGACCCGAAGTATTGCCACTGTTTGTTGTTGACATAATCGTAGTTTACATCTCACTGTGTCTGTAAGAAAACTTGTTAATTCTCATTCTGTTTGTAAGAAGAGAGTTTCAAGACTACAATTCTCTCTCCTCATATTTCACCCTTGTATTCCTACTACTTCAATAAGCGAGCAAGATTTCCCCTCTGAAAATGTCTCTCTCAATCCGTGAAGCCTCACTCAAAGACGCGGCAATCCTTACAGAAATATATCTCGCAGCATTTGAAAAAGATGAGATCTCACTGCAAGCATTTCCACGCACAGATAAATCCTACAACTTCTGGTACGACGCCATAATTGAAGAAATGGCATCCTCAGATTGGCACTTCATCTGTTGTTATCCCACTTCCGACACTTCTCAAACCCCAATCGCCTACTCAAAGTGGAACTCTCCAACAGATAAAAGACTTCCGGGACCAGAGGATTTACCGCAATGGCCAGAGGGTTCTGATGCTGAGCTTGCGAATCACTTTTTTGGGACGCTGGTGAGTAAGAGGAAGGAGAATATGGGGGAGAGGAAACATTGGTACTTGGAGCTTTTGGCGACGAGACCGGAGTGGCAGGGAAAGGGTGCGGGGAGCAAGATGTTGAAATGGGGATTGGGGAAAGCGGATGAGGAGGGGTTGGAGGCTTATCTTGAGGCTAGCCCGGCGGGGAAGAGGTTGTATGAGAAGATGGGGTTTAAGGAGATTGGAAGGTTGGTGGTTCCGTCTAAGAAAGAGGGTGGTGAGGATTTTGTGGAGTGTTTTATGTTAAGGGATGCGAGGAAGAAAAATTGAGCAGCTTTGAAGAACATATCGCTCGAACGGGATGTGAAGAGCCTTATGATTATTTTAGAACCAGAGATTCATATAACGACAAAGGGGGGTTTTAAATGGAATAACCAGACAACTTTGACGACAACTTGATACTCGATGCTTTTGAAACTTACCGTACCTCGGAATTCCAACGATATCACTTCTTAGCCACCGCAATATGAGCAATCATCCTAGCCGCAGCTCCACCCTTCCCATCCACAGTAATAGTCTCTTCATCTTCCATTGCCCTTTTCACAACAGCGACAGCTTCATCAAACCTCTCCTCATCACTTTCAACCCATCCACCCGCAGGTCCCTTCGGTGCCCCTAGAAAACTCCAAGCCACCTCCGACCAACGCTTCAGATCCGGAATCTGTAGCACAGCATCACTTTGCGACATTTTAATATCCTTAAACCCAGCACCCTCAAGAACAGACTTGAGATGATCAGCACTCTGCCATTTCGCACCTTCCTTGTAGGCGTGAAAAGCATCCTCGCCTCTCGTTGCATTGTTTGCTTTCAGAATTGGATTATGGTGAGCGACGCTCGCCCACGTCGTGACGATCGCAGTTCCTCCAGGTTTGAGAGTGCGGTAGATATGACTAGCGACTTTCTCAGGATCTTTGACGAGGAAGATCAGAAAGTTGTTGAAGCTGTCCGTGAAGTAATTGTCTCCAAAGGACAAAGCTTCTGCTGGCATAACTTCTGCTTTGACGGAATCTGCCCAACCCTTTGAAGCTGCAAGTGCGGCTGTTGCTTGTACCAGTGGGGGCACAACATCTGTTGCGTGGATTGTGATATCCCCCGCTTCTTTCGTTTCAGTGATTGCCTGCGTGACGACGCCATTGCCACAGCCGTTGTCAAGAATGATGGCACCGGTATTCAGTGGGGTTGAGTTTACGATCTGACGTGCGATCTGTAGAGTAACATCGCCCATGAGCTCTTGCATAATCTTAGGACTCAAAGGTAAGCATTGCCTTGGTCGAAATGGGGGAGGAGGTTGAGTAGACATTTTTCTGCAGCTAGTGAGACGTTAGAACAGTGCGGGATCGAAAGGTAGCAACTTACTTAATTTGTCTGATATGGCTGCGAATACAACTCAACGTTATTTTGCTGGTAGTAGAATCAGTTTTAAACATTGAAAGAGGATCAAACCAAGAGAAAAAACATGTTCAAAGTTTCGGCATTTTACCCTGTTGGGTTTGTTTGTTGGATCTTACATGCTCGTTGGAGGCAAGGCAATTTTTGGCCGTTGCTTGTTTTGCGATCGCTTTAGCCTTACGTATGAACCAACATGACAATAGCATGCGGCAGCCGAAACTTCATGATTGGTAGTAAGTGGCACAATGAAACAGCTACATTGATGCTTTCTGCTTGTAAGCCTGCATGACATTTGGGTTCTTAATATGAGCTCCTTAATCGTGCTTGCTAGGCACGCTTTCGACTAAAGCTCATCAACTTATAAGTGCTGGGATACAATGATGAAACGAGATTCATTTTTCAATATCATTCGGAAATCGAGAGAGGTGAATACGCTTAATTAAAGGCTGGAGCTAGCGAGGTACTGAACTATTTGCCCTGGAAACAGGAGTAGACTGTACTTGTCTGCTGAAGCGAAAACCACCAGTGAACCAAGGCTTCAGCATTCAAAAGCTGCTGCATATTTTCTGCCACGCAAAACATCGAACAATATTAAAAGTTGAAATCCCGATGACGTTATCCATGGGTTGAAGATGCCTCATATCGGGTAAGTCTTATATCAAATGCTCAGAAATAGCCCTTGAATACCCACAGCACGAAATCTCAGGTCAATTTGAAGATACAACCGCGTAGCAAAAGTTGCTCCCATCTTCTGGATATTTATCCGAAAAGAAGATCCCACTCGTTTCGCTCGGAACCACAGCATTCGTCCCATTGGCAGTAAACATGTGATAGAAAACACAGTTACTGTCGTCCGAAGTAGTTCCTATACGGAAAGAGTAAGAAATGCATTGCGAGACTGTCATACATCTCCTCTGGCATTCAAGCACATCTAATGCCTTCGTCGTTCCCCATAGATGCGACTGAAGTAGGGATGTGGCAATACCCTGTTGATTGCATCCATCTACATTTGCTTTTGTAGCAATTGGTGCTGTTGAGGATGATGTTGCTGTAACTGCGGATGATCTCGATTGAATGCTCTGTGTGTTTGGTTGATCTTGCTCGCTTCTTGTTGATGTGAAAGTTGTCGTAGGGGCTATTTCAATGATGAAGAGGTTCGGTGCAGGAACTGTGAACTTGGAGCGAGCCAGTTCAATAGAAGCCGGGCTTTCGTTTGTTGAACCATGAGTTGAGGAAGTTATGGTACTAACGTGGTGAGCATAATTATTGACAAGCGGCAGAGCTGTACAAACAACCATGTAAACCGTAAAAGTTGACAGCCATGGTTGGCGCATAATGAATGAATTTTGATGGGAAAGCCCTAAAGACTGGGCGTACTGTGTTCTCACAGGATTAGAACGACAACTTGGCTATCGCGGTGACCCGAAGGAATGATTGAAGGGAACGGAATACCTTCAATGGCTATCGAAGGTACTTAACCAAGAAAGTCAGCTATACAAAAAATATTCATCCCCTTGGCATAGCCTAATTGTATCGTCTTGAGCAGACGAGACTTATGCAAAAGAGGCTAAATTAGCAGTGGTAGCCTGGACGCAGATGTACAGCAATGGCGACACCAAATGCATGGTTGAACCTTTCTTCAATGTTTACATTGCATCTTTCTCAGTTGCCGAGTCGACTAAGTCTTGAGAAAGATTGAAGAACGAGGTAACGTAGAGTCATTTGGCAGCTTTGCATGCGAGAGAGACTCAGAGAGTGCATTCAAAAGCCCTAATGCTAGGCCAAATTCGTTCTTGAACTTGAAAGCAGATCTCGATGACCTCTCGTCATCTCTTTCCCGTTGAACGAGTTTGCTGTGGTTTTTCGTGTAGATTGTGTAATATCGCGAAGGCATGAGAACTTTGGAAAGCCGACATAGGACTAAGAGGCCAATACCCACGTGACCTGCCCCACTCGCGCATCAAACAGAAAGGCTGCACAAATCTTGGTTCAAAATCGAAAGCTTCCTAAGGTATTCTATCATCTCTTAACATATCTAGAGCAAGATGGTCAGTATATTAAGATACAAAGAAGACATATCACATGACCTTTCGTTTGCATGGAAAAACGTTTGAGCGTGATTACGCCGATCCAGACTCTCATTTTCGTTCAGTGTCTCAAAGATATTGCGAACGGACATATCCTGCTCATAGGGGCCACTTATACTTCATACAAGTAGCACAAATTTTAAGACTTTACGTGGTCGCTCTGTAACATACCTAACCCTACCTTTCAAGATATCCACGTGGAACGCCCCGTTCAGCAACCTCTCAGAAGCGACCATGGAACTTGAACTTGCGACGGGGTCTCGAGAGCAAAATTTGAATCGAGCATGCGAAGCTTGCAGAACGCATAAAGTTAGATGTCTTCCTAACAATATGATAAATTCTTTCTCCGATACCAAATCCTGTCTACGATGTCTCAAGACAGACCGCCAATGCGTCTTCGCTCCACCACAAAGGAGAAAGCAGCGTCAGCGAACGGATACTCGAGTGGCCGATCTAGAAAAAGAAGTGAAATCGATGCGTGCTCTCTTCCTTCAACGGAAGATAGAATCAGCGCTAGTTTCTTCAAGTCCCAACGATCTAGCAATAGAAGGAGGTGATAGTAGAGATTCAGCGACAGGGAACATGACATCGTTTTCTAGAAACCTAAAGTATCCTACTACTTCAAACAAGACGAGCTCAAAATCTGACGGAAAAAGAGTACCTGCATACAACTCGCATGACAGCGGTACATTGAGCTCCGTACCTGAACTAGATGTTATTGACCGTGGCTTGTTGACATGGCAATATGCAGAAGCACTCTTTTATGTGTTCATCAACGATCTCTTTCCACACTATCCATGTGTTTACTTTAAGCCAGGAACATCGCCCGAACAGACAAGACGTAAGAGGCCTATTCTTTTCCTTGCGGTAATCGCTGCTGCCTCCGGAAAGGTCGATCCACATCTGTATAGCATCCTCCACAGTGAGGTGGTGACGGCATACACCCAACGAGCTGTATTCCATAACGAAAAATCACTGGAACTGGTTCAAGCGCAGCTTGTAACCTCAGTATGGTATTACCCACCAGGAGCATTTGATAGACTAAAGTTTTACGAATACATTCATATGGCCACTACTATGGCAATAGAAATTGGCCTTGGAACCGACCCCAATCCATCAAGAAAGCGATACGGTATAGATCATGCGCCGTTTCCTAGTGTTAAAAGCGATTCGGTCACACTTGATGACGATTTAGAAAGACGAAGAACCATCTTAGCATGCTATTTGGTTTCTACCGGGTAAGTCGTCCTTCTGTCTAATGAAGAGCGAGCATATATCACGTCTAACAGAACCCAGAGTATCTGTAGTCATGCGGCGACCCAATATGCTTAGAACAAACAAATGGATCGACAACTGTGTGGAATTTTTGACTGCTCAGGGCACAGTATCAGCTTTAGATGATACCTTGGTGGCATGGGTAAGACTACTTCAACTGACTGAGGAGATTGTTGCTTCGTTTTCTCTTGATGACCCGGGCAATATTGCCGACTGTGAGTCCATCTCACTTTATGCTTCATCGTTAATCTTTTCAACCACCCGACTCGCACTTCAATTTTGCACTATACTGATTACTTGAGCAATAGTAGCTGAACGTCAAACGCAATTGATGCTAAGCGCATATGAGCAAAATTTGATAAACTGGAAAGAAAAGTTTCTCCCCAGCGGCTCCACTAATGGTAAGCGCTGTCTCTTCCAGCCCGAACATTGCTGAAAGAATATAGTTACACTGAACCTAGCATATTTACATACGCAGATTTTCATACATGAAATTGCAATGCATGATGATCATGCTCCTGGTGATCTACTGCCGCCATATACACTTAGAAAGATTTTGTCGATAGCTCCAGAAATACATGGCACGTCATCCCATGTAAAGCCAATAACCGTCATCATCTCCTCAATCCATACCCTTCTCGACTGCTTCCTGAACATGGAATTGCCGACACTTCGTTCAATGCCTATATCCAACTTTACACGACTAGCTTACCCCGTCGTCGTTCTTACCAAACTGCACATATCTGCAAAATCACCAACTAGCAATATTGGTTCGGTTTTGAACCATTCTGACCTCAGACTAGGCTTCTATCTTGATTCCCTTATCAATAAATTACGCTTAGCAGTAGGGCCAATGGAATGCCGAGCCCCTTTAACGTTTCTCAGGCTCTTAATTGGACTTCAAGCATGGCACAATGATCAGAAGAGTCACACTCAATTCAGAGAGCCCCTCAATTTTGACGATGAATTCGTCTCATGCTGGATGTCACCACCACCAAATCTCAATGGTACTGCAAGAGAAGAGGAACTCAAGGGGAGAGACGACATTTTGATATCACAACACCAAACCTCAGACTTTCATACGCGTGATTTGTCGGATCTTGCACCAGGGGACCTCTCTGGCGATAAAACATTGTCTGATTTCGATGTTGACTGGGCCAATCCTGAAGTCAATGAGTTTCTGTTGCTTGGAGATATCGATGCGGAGTTCGGGCACATCGAGTGGAATAATGCGTTAGATTCCCAACGTGCATTCCAGGGCATTGAAAGCTCTATGTGGAACGGCAATGAGAGCAGCAGTTGATCTATGTTAGAGAATAAAGGCGTTCTCAATGCCACAAGAACGCCTGTGGCTGCGAACCTTGATCAAGACCAGTCTCCTCTCGAATTTCCGGTTAGGTGCATGTCAGAGCTGTACCTGCCACACTAAAACATCCATTGTCAGTCCTTAGGGCCCCAGCCGCCCGAGCATGTCAAGGTATACTCGAAGATGTCGCCGAATGCGCATCACTTTGAGGATTATTATTACATTCAAGGACATGATTATGGCAGAAAATGATTAATAAAGGACTCAAATATTCTTATCGCACACTTCCATGCATACTAGACCTCCCTAAGACGGCATTTCGATATGTGGGGAGGCAGCTTAGCAGCTCTCGGCAGACACACAAGTTGCCATTACCTCCTTGAGTTTTTTGAGCTACCTCTTACGCCATCGGCCAAGAGCTTCTACGCTGCGTTCCTCCTCCTATAGTTTGAGCTTTCAATAGCGTCATGCATAGAAGCATGCAGAAGAATCCTATCTCAATCTCATCTGTTAGGCCCTTGTCTCCTTCCTGTAAGGTCGAAGTAAGCTCTCCCGAAGGACGGGGCATTCGCTTGCTGCAGCCCTGGTGCAGCTCAGGTTCGGATGCCTAACATTCTGTGCCATCATTCCCTTAGAGGGACCGGACTCCTTTTGTTGACGGAAACAATCGGTGGTCGACCCCCCATATGACCATCGCAAATTGTAACAAGTCATACTTGACAAGCCTTCTGGGAATAAACCAGCAACACTTTCACATCCGTAGCCATTTCACTACATTAAAAGTTTAGAGCCTTTCAATGGGGGCAGGAAACTGCAGGCACATATCATGTCCGCAGATCCCCCACAGTTTGGCAAGGTAGATCAAGTGCTTCTCGATGCCGGAGGTTCCACAATAAAGCTCATTTATCAGCAACTCACCTCGTGCCTTGCATTTAGCTGGCTCACCCCCAGTCTCATTCATGCACATCATCCCTTCCATTCCATCCTGCAGCACGAACAGACTATCACATTGAACCAAAGATCGTGTCATTTTGGATGTTGAGGATGAAAAACCCATATCGAACTTGGTCGCAGCGCTAGGGGTTATCTTATCATCGTATCGTTTGGCAATGCGTTTTATCCGACAAATGGTTGCATTGGGTTGTCAGTAGTCGAAATGAACATATCAGTAATCCTAAGCTATCCAGTGCTATGTCGTCTATGGTGATGTTCTGCCGCTCTCAGCCGTCAAATGCCGTGGTGTCCAAACTAGTCGAACCATCTCCAACAACACCATTAATAGTTCTAAAACTGATGGATAATACGATTGAACCATTGACAGCAGACTCTTAGCAGCGGACCGATATCGCCTTAGAAGAGCAGGCAAATATACAGCGATAACTCACGCATGCTTTGCAACTGCTACCGCAAGCCATATTCCTGACCAGGGTGGATGCTAGTAGTATTCGTATCTCGTCAACCGCCTCAGCTCAAGTGCTTGAAGTGGAGTTACATCCAAGTATTACACTACATAGCCGTCCACGTACGAACCATTCACATCGTCTTCAGGTAGAGATATGGACTCCGACACAATCGACCGATTTTCACATGCTCAGACTGTTGGCCTCTGACCGCAATTACCGGACTTTGTGATCACTTCAAACCGAAGAGCTAAGGCCACCCTGCGATGGTTCAAAATAATATCCGCGGATGCCTGCGACTATTTCCCTTGTTATTCTAGCTCTGACTTTGTCGTCTTGGGAAACTAATCCGTCTCTGCGTCCACCAGCTGCAGGCATGCAAGTTGTGGTTCCTCGCTTAAATGCCACCTCCCTCCTCAACAACAGCCACCCTGGTCTTCCATTATGCTTCCAGAACAAAACTACACATCTGAGACTAAGATATCTTATCTTTGCTAGGGTATAGATTGAAAGCTTTCTAAATTGGAGAACGTTTTTGGATACCGCATTGTCACTTTAGAGCTACTTCGATAACTTGGAGCTTACCATCTTTCTCTCACTTAGAGATGAATCACTTCAACAACAGGAGTGCCACAAATGTACTATATTCCTGTTTTGGTATTAATTAAGGTAATGCAGTACTGAAGTTCATATCAGTGCGTTATGTGACTCAAAAACTTTCGTTGAAAAGTCACAGATGACGGGTCGACTGGATGAAGGATGCAAAGCTTTCAGCTCTGCTCAAGAGCCAACCCCCCAACTTCCTACCTGCAGTTCTGTTCGGTCTAGTACAGTTGCTAGAAGTTTAAATTCTTTACTTGAAACAGCAATGGAATGCTGAGTCCTCTCATTCTTCGAAAGGTTTGTAAGTGATAAGGCAATCAAACATATTGGCTGCAACTCATCGACAACGCTTTTCCCAATATTCCATTGATTCGTCCAGATCAAACAATTTCTCCTCATGGAAGTAACCTTAATGCTTAGCATCTTCCTATAAGAGATATATTAGAATTTCAAGCCGTGTATTCAAGTGGGAGCAGGTATCTGCTGATACGCCGGACTGTTGAGAAATGTGCCACTGAAGCTTTTCATCAGGTTTCGATGCTCTGGAAGGTTCATCAAGCCATTTTGTTACTCAACCATGCGATGTTAACCCTCCAATTTACCAAACCCTGATTTCAACCCTGTTGAACGTCCGATGTCTCGCTACACCAAATCATCGTCTCCTGCATACCGTCCTCACCCGTTGCTGCCACTTACACCAATACCAAAGTTTTGAGCAAGATTGATGCAGCCTTTCAAATTTCAGCCCAGTATCACGTCCATGGTAAAGCCTCAGATTGTTGCAAAGCCACCATCTGATTACGACTTTCCTAATCCGGACATAAGTCAGGGTGATGCGTTATGGTCATGCACATGACTATTTTCTTGCCATTGGATACACGTGCCCCTCGATGGGAAATCGATGGAGATATTCCGCCTTCAGATCGACTTCCCGCTTTAGCATCAAGACGTCAAGCTGCGAAACGGCTTCGAAATTGCTTTTCACTGACGCAGAGCGGGATCAAACTTTGCTACTGGCTGTTTTTCATTGTGGGAAAGCCATCGTCACAGATTAAGAATCTAAGACACGGCACTGAAGACGGGATCCAATACAACTACCTGCTTTCTTCTCTTCCGGCACGGCCAACACGGTACTGTCTGTAGCTACCGCTCCTACCCCACCACAAGAACCCCACGGCCTCCAATTCTCCAACTCATCACGATCTCCATCATGGAACTAGCCCGAGTGATATTATTCCCGTGCTTGCATCTTCCAATAGTGCTCGACGTCGTTTAAAGGCCGCGTTCCAGAATATTCTCAACACAGCTGCATCTGCCTTGGCTAAAGTGTTGATATGTGCGGGAAGCTTACCCGACATTTCCAGCTTCCCTTTTGAGCTTCACAACCCGTCTCGTCGCCCAGCCCTAGAACTTCTAGAACTTCTTTCCTTCTAGAAGCCCAACCTCAACGTCAATAGTTCTCATACCCCACTTCAATTATATCCAATCACCCGGTCTCTTTTGTCAAGACGCGCCCCACAGCAGGCTTATCACGATGCGTTATCAAATGGATCTCGACATGTGGATTTGGCACGGTTAAACTCGGTTCGTACCGGGCGCTTCGCGAATATCTCTAATTCGGGTTTATCTCCGTACTTAAGAGGCTCTTCTATGGTATAGCCAGGGATGTGAGCGGAGGTGGGTTTTGACCGCCTTGCAATTGATGGTTCGAACAACACAGAGTTTCATCCCAAGTTTGGGCAATTTTGGGCTCACTCTCTCCCAACGTTTCTCCCTGTTCCAAGAGCCTCATGTAATTTCATTTCTGTTTCTTGAAAAGAGTCAAATAACTTGAGAAGTTCGCTAGACATCAACTTTTATATACCTGCAATAATGAGCCGAATTGAGAATCAAGTGCACTTATAAACTCGTATTGTAAAAGCTTTCCCACCAGATCCTCCCCATTTTTTCGATGAAAATTAGCTCTTAATGACGAAACTTTAAAGATTAAGACATCATTAAGTCAAGGCTGAGAAGCCGTTGAGACTCGTACAAAGAACGACGACCCCCAGGTCGGGCCTCTCTGCAAGTCCCGGTGTTTAATTTATATTCCAAACTCTTTCCTCCGATCTAGTGTCCACCTCCGCAGCTAACCCAGCCCTGAAATAAATGCATATCATTTACGTTGAGCGGTATGTGTAATCGATAATAATCCTAAATTTAAGCAAGTCAAACCTAACCGGACAACTACATTCACTATGAAACATCATCCAACTAATCATCACCCACTAACCTTCCCATACACGCACAAAAACACCTCAACCACCTCAACATCCATACTAACCTCCCCCGAATACCCCTACAACACCGCTCAGACCAAACATCATTCCAAAACAATTGCACCCCCGAGGTCCGAGGAGGGAAAACGGAGTAGGAGCATTTACCTCGCATTGAATGCCTTGTTAGCCGGTAATTCCGTTTCTATTCGTGTTCAATGTATAAGCTTTGAGTAGCGTAGGAGTGAGAGGCGCAGAGTGTCGTGATGAGTGTAGATCATTTCGCGAATCTGTTTCTTATGCGATGGTGAGATGTGTGGTTGTGGCGTGGAGTCGGAGGGTTGTTTTGTGGTTGAGACGTAAATTTGTAACCGAACGTCGAACATCGTGTAGGAGAGTTGTGTATCTAGTAATTACCCAGGACGAATGTCAGAGTGTTTATCAAGTCTCGCTATGGAGTTCAGAGTAGCCTATTGATCACTGATGGAAAGAAAATAATTTTCATAAAACATTTCATATAATTCGTATGTGTCGCCATAAAAGGCAGTCATGCTATATGATATCGTTCAACGGTTCCAGACCTGAGCAAATGCTTTCATGTCATTCAATCCCTCGTCCCAACTCCATATTTCCATCACCTACTCAGAACACCCGCTAACCTCAACCGCCAGCCTGTCTATTGTCCCCGTGACCAAAGGTATTTATAAACCAGATACCTATCCATGGCATGACCAGAGATCCCAAGAAATACCATTATGCATTATTATTTCCAGCGCAAAGAGAGGCGTATGTAACCAAAGACATCGTATGTGTCGTTTCCGGAGTATGTTGTTTCGCATATGAAATAAAACCGTGGAGAGATGAGAGTTCCAACAGGTCATTAAACCATGATCCACTCTCCCTCACCGCCCTCCATATATCGTGACCATTTGAAAGGACCCCCAAATGCTTCCTTACTCTCACGCATGGTGACACCACCATTTTCGCGGTCTTCCCATAACTTTTCCAAAACCTCAAGCCCAGCAAGATTGTTCAAGTAACCGGATCGACCCATGATTTCCCTACATTTGGTACGAACGATAGATTGTTGTAACTCGTTGACGCATTCGGAACCGCTGATAAACAGAGGCCAAAGCAAGAACTTCTCGCAACCTGAGCCCTGCTCTAGCGAGGTAACGTAGAATAGAACTTGAGAGACGAGATTTTGAAAGTTCAAATGTGAGGAGGAAAGGTTGGGGCAAGCAAGGCGTTCTGTGTACAAAAGTGCAGAGTAGCGGAATGCCTCGGAAATGTAACCAAAATCCTTCAACTGGGAAGGCGATGGAGTCGCAGGTAGATTAGCGACGAGTCTGTGTGGGTCGAATTCCCATTCTTGGAGTGCCTGGCGGGCGGCCTTCCATTCGGTCCAGAAGGTAGTCCTCATGTCGTCATGTGATGCCGTGTCTGTAAGTAGTGAGAATGAGGCATCGTCGTCTAATGTAGAGGCAAATCCATTACCATCAAAGTTGTGCGCGTGAAGGTTGTAGAAATCAACAAGTGCTTGACCAGCCAAGCGAGGGCGTGGGTTGGGTGGTGCTGGCCGAGGAGCACGGGTCGTAGGAATGCTTTCGTCTAGCACGGCCCTATGTTGGGAGAGCATATTTAGACGTCCTAGTCGTGCAATCGTTTTGAACAGCACCGAGTCGCAACCCGCAATGTTTTCGAGTGCGTGAGATGGTTGCATTGGATTGGCAATCATCTCAAGGTAGCCGCCACGGAGTTGAGCTTCACGGTCATTGATGCTCGCTGCAATACCATCAAAGTACGTGAAAAGTGTTTCCATCCATCCCCAATTACCTGTCTCGACTCCTGATTCTCTCATACCTAGAATCTTCTTCACACCAGCAAACTGAGTTCGGAACTGAGCGATACCAGATTCGCACATTCGGTAATGACATAAAATGAATAGCGTTGCAAGGACGCAATCATGGCGAGCCGTTGAGGGATCGCTAAGTTGTTGATTTAAAAGTGATACCGCCAAAGAACGGTGTTGATATTCTTCTTCGAGCGGTTGATCGGTCGATCGAGGTTCGGCGTTTGGTGACATGCGGTTGTTTGAAGCCCTCCTGTTGTGAGAAGATCGTGGGTTATTTGAAGAGTTGATTCTATCCTGGAATTCTAGCTCCAAGGGTCGTCGCCAGTGGTCCTGTCCTAATGATTGTCTCCGTTTCATCCGAAGATTGCACGCAGCAAGGGCGCAAATAGCATGTTGAAGACTTCGGCTAGAGGATGCGAGACTGAGAATATGCTCGCGGTATGGATTGCTAGGGCTGTCGATTACAACCACGGATGGGCATATGATCTTCTCGTAGTAATCTAAGAAGAACGAAATCCTGGGAGACATATCTGTGGAGGAGGACATGGAATCGGATCCGGCAATGTAATAGGGGTCTGCCTCGGATGTGGTCTGTGAGGCTACATCATCATCATTGATAGAGTTCCAGCCGAAGTGGCTTGATCGAGCACTGGTAGCATATACCTCTAAATCATTTGCGACATGTTGGGATCCTGAAAACAGTTAGTGATTTGATGCTGGGGATATAGGCAGAATGAATTTACCCAGAATCTCATCGTCATAGAAACCCTCATTGGCTGCCGAGGCTGGATGCGATGGACGTCCTCCTTCAGGAATATCATAAAGATTTTGATGCGAACTGATACTCGAGCTCATCTCTGACTGAGCGTAGAAATGATCAGGACAAGAAGTAGGACCACGTGAATCACCTCCCATCATGCTCACGACTGGACTAGCATCTGCTGTGGAATTGCGAGACGAATAGCCGTTGTAGATAGGTATTGGACTTCTCAGGAAGGAGTCTTCGCCCGGAAATGACTGAGCGATTGGTGAGGCGCTGTATTCGCTATCGGCATATGCGCTGAGCGATTCGATAGAGCTCGACATGTGGAGGTCCCCTCTGCCGAGACTGAGCGTATGTGTATGTAACCGATGCAGGTGAGGCAATTGTCTCTGATGGCACATGGGTTCTGGTTGATAGTCTTGCAGAGGGTAATCTTGGGGAGCGGCCATATTCCACTCGGTCATTTGCATTGGAGGCGTGACACCATTGGGTGCCATATTGACGAAGTCATAGGTGGTATATGGATTCACAGAAATTGGCCCTGATGATTCCATCTTGATTTTCACACCATCGAGTTCGTTATTATCCCGTGAGGGTGAGATATTGGTGGAATGTGTCCGCGCACGGGTTGGAGGAGGGCTCTTCATAGCTGGCGCGGATCTTGCTATTGGTAGAGATAGTCCACGTAGTTTTCCTCGACTGGCGACTCCCACTCCCCACGTCAACTGAGTCTTGTATCCTGAACATTCTTTCCCTACTTCAAGACACGGCGAGCAGTAAGGCCTCCTTCGATCGCATTTAGTGTTGCGCTTAGTACAAGCAAAACAGTCGTCCGAGGCACCACTGGCGGGCGCTCTTCTACGTCGCTTCCTTTGTGGTACTGTCGGTGGGTCCGAGGCAGCACTGGAGGAGGTGGGCGGTGGGCAAGGCAAAGGTAAAGTCATGATGGAAGAGAAAGGCAAAAGAAGTTGTTCAGAAAGTCTGAAAAGAGAGAGATATTTGGGGCGAATGGGTTCCTTATTGAGACAAGTGTAAACGCGAGTTCATGGAGGTTGCTTAAGTGTAGACGTCGAAGGATTCTTGAGCTCGTGGGTGACACGTTCGTATGCTGGCGAACAGTAAGATATCGAGGTAGGATGTGGGCATCCAAGGAGGTTATGAGATATGGAGGTAGGAACGGGGCAAAGGGCTGGAACTAGAGATGGAGCCGGGTCTGCTTGCTGTCGCTGTCCTGCTGCAAGCCTGCAAGGTCGTGAAGGTGCATGGAGCAGCAGCAGAAACGGATTGGAATAATACATCAGCATCGACATGGTCTTTGAGGGGTGGGAAGACATGGTCCACGGAACTGCCTGTCAGTAGTATGGGCCTTGGAGATCAGTTTGCCAGGGGTAGTGGCGGGCAAGAGCCAGGGGGGCGACAGCAAGCCGAGGACTGGACATCTGAACGGACACGGAGGAGAGTGTGGCTAGGAGGGGGAGCGAAACGCGAGCATTGTG